GAAAAGTTTCAAATGATAGAATGGTACATCCAGAATAATTCAGCACGCGCGGTTGTTGAATTATTTGCGGTACGCTTCCCAGATCGGCCAATTGCGTCTCACGCAACGGTTATAAATACCTACGAAAAATTCAAGAGGGTGGGCTGCTTACATAAGTGCCATAGCTCCATGCACCCTGAAGGTTGGAAACCAAAAATTAGCGAGAAAAGGGAGGAGATCGAAACTGCTGTTTGTGCCGCTGCAGAAGTATCTGAGCCATGCTCAAGCAGAAAAATTGCTGAAATGGTACCAATAGCCGATCTCACACCCAGAACAACAAGAAATATTTTGCATCGCAACGGCTATCATAGCTTCAAGGTTGGAACGGTTCAAGAAATATTTCCTTTAGACAAATACCGTCGGATGGAGTTTTGTGAAACGGTCATGGAGAAGGCGAACAGGGATGGAAGTTTTATTGGTAACATTTTGTTTACTGATGAATCCACATTCCCTCTCCACGGTCATCACAATCCTTCAGTCGTTCGGTATTGGTCTCGGGAAAATAAACACCTCAGTATTCCCGTCCGCACGCAGTATCCACAGAAACTGAATGTGTGGGCAGGAATTCTAGGTAATAACATTATCGGACCGTTCTTTATTGATGGAACTCTTACGGCTGCAAAATATTTGGCGTTACTACAGACGCAGATTGTTCCTGCAATTAAGCAGCTTGGCATCGATCTCGCTAATATTTGGTTCCAACAATGCCTGGCGCATAATGCGGCGATCGTACACACTTACCTTGAAAGTGTGTTCGGCCACCGGATTATTGGCGGTAACGGAACAATAAAATGGCCTCCTAGATCACCCGATCTAGCGCCCAATGATTTTTTCTTGTGGGGTTATGTGAAAAGTACTGTTTACACTTTCAATGAGAGAGCAGACAATTTGCATAACCTACAGGTGAAAATCGTTGAAGCGCTCGGGCAAATACAGCCTTCTACCCTCTTGAGAGTTCGTCAGGAGTTTTATAACTTCTGTTCATTGAATGAAGGAGACGTTTTTGAGCCCCAGTTGTGAAGGACCATTTGAAACATTTTTGTTCATTATTGCGTTTTATTTTTGAGAACTTATTTTTTTGTTAGAATATCTTTTTATTTTCGTTACACATTTTTAAGAGTGTACTATTTTTTGTTAGAGTGGGTATCTTCTTATTTTTCTTATGAGACGCAACCTTTATTGCTACAAAACCAATTATCCATTCATAAAAATAAGTAGAGTGATTTCGTGAAATCTCGAAATCACCGAAATCGGTTCACAGGACGTCCAATCGAACTGGTGCGTAATGCGCGCATCTACTGTACTTCTTCTGTCGACTTAACGCATACTGAAATTTGCAGCAGACCGCAGACCTGTATCACGAATGAGAATAATAGGCAGATACGCTGTGTTGCCAATTTGAGTAGAGCTTCCCGAATTGCGGGGAATTTAGAGTTAAGTGTTGATTCATTCAAGCTTTTAATCAGCATGGCCTAGACGTTAGAACTTCATAAAGATAACATTGAAGCTGAATTCTGCTGGATTATAGTGTTTCGAATATTCAAAGCCGAGCGGGCACTATACTCGTTCAATGGGTCATCAAGCCACAGTCTTTTCAACAAAGAAATTATTTTACGAAAATGCGTTATATTTTTACGATTTTGTCGTCACCAAATCTCTGTTTCTCAAAATGTACGTCTATTGTAGAATTTTCAGCAAACTAAGCAAGAAACGTGATCTAGTATTTACTCAACATTACGGATTTCTCGAAATACATTAAAAATGTGACCTAGATACCTAACTGCCCCAAGCTCTTTAAATATAACACCTTAAACCAGGGTTACCAGGTGCTCAGTCACGTTGATTGTCATGTTGTACTGCGCAAGTCAGCAAACAATCTGGCGTAATAAACGTTAGGAATCATCAGGTATTGCCAGATTCCCGAATACCGGGCACCATAGTACCCGTTATAGTTGTCCTTCAAAGTTGTCAAATCGCCCATATGGCGCAAATTCGCCACACCAGGCAACTGTGCTATAAACAAACCCTGTTTATCACTACTATTTGATAGTCATATGGTAGTTGTAGCCCTATCTAGCGGTCCATGATTTCTCTCAATACTGTTGTATCTCTACTGGCAACAAGAATAGGGATTACAAAATCATTTATACAACAATATACAAACATGAAAAATATGATTTGAACCATGAAACATTAATACAATTTTAATAGTTTGAACTTTTTTCATTTTTGGAATACTCTTATGTGGAATCCGCAGCTATTATTCCCGAAATTTGGGTAGACTTAGATTTCTTAGAAGTATGACATATTGGTATCGGCAACTCTGCGAATGGGAGAAACAAATCGCATTTGTTGAGCGCATCCGTCTAAGCGGCAGGCCGGCAGGCGCCAGCGCCCGTTCTGCCATCTCTCTTTTATCATTCTTCTACTTTACCCCGTTGTCCGTCACACTCCGACGCTGCCAGATAGGATCCTACAATCGAGTATCTTTCACGCACCTACATACTTTTGTATATTTCCATCTCTCTTCCTCATCATAATGTATAATAATGGTTTTTCCGAAGGTGTATATCATTTGAAGTCCGCACAATAAAATTATTCAGTCATCAGATTTATGTTAAGAGCCGGCAACGTCGCGTACGAAGTTCATGCACCGTGTAGCAACCATGTGGCTTCCAGAAGAAAAAACTGGCGCTTGACAGTTTTGACACTGATATGTATATATTTTGTGGTGTTGGGAACCACTGCGTCATGGCGTAGGTGCGTGGGTTAAATAATTATTTTATTTGTTTGATAGCGTGCCCTGTGATCTATGATTATTGTGTTCTCATATGCAATAAGTTTAGTTTTTAATATAGCATATCCGCTGAACTTGTTAGTGCTGGTCTAAAAACCGGTGGCCATTTTAAATTATTGGAGAATAAAATACATTGGAAATGATTATAAAAGATAATCATTTTGTAACTCACATGTTCTGAAATCGAAGATTTAGGTTGTAATTTGTTCAGGCGAAAAATGTTCTTTTATTTTCAACGTGTTTGCTTTTTTGTGTACAAGTTGCTGCTACGATAATTGGTTATTTATTTCCTATAAATAAGCATCCACAGTGTCATCACTAAGGGTTATACAGTGTGTTCAGAAAAATAAGTATTATTGGAGCATTTTTCATAATTTTGTCTTTGCTCAAAAATTATGGTGAGTTAATATGCTTACTGCTGTTCAACTTCTCATTTTTTTTTTCAAACGAGCCCATGGAAAAAATAAAAATGTGGCTTTATAATTTCCTGTGGAGCTTTGTTTTAAACACACTGCGAACATTTCATTCCAAGATATTTAAAAATACAACCTAATTTGACAAGAGCCTCGTTTTTACATGAATTTCTGCGCTGGTGTTTCCTCTTGCCAGTCCAAGCGGCACGGCGGTGCATCCGGACTATGTTATTTAGATAATTTGGTGGCCCCTTTTTAACATTGTGTATATAAGTAATTCTGGAAATATGTGTTCATAATCGTGATGTTGATGTGAAACTATTATTCGCAACTAGTTGCGTAAATGGAACTTCTTAAAATTGTCCTTTGTGTCTTATCTGTCACTGGCTAATAATACAAACCACAGTTGTTGAATATATTAATTTCCTGACGTTTCGGCTGCCTCGAAACCTCACAGTAGAAATAATTTTATGAAATTGAAAATTTTTGCTAATCCCTGTGAAAGTCCTTTTACTTCCCACGCCATTGGCGAGAAAGTATTGTTATCTACAGAAAATTTCGAAAATGAGATATTTTGTTTATGTACGTTGTTTGACATTTACATCACGCAAAAAAAGATGGCTTTCATTCGCGTTCCAGGTAATTTCCAACAAATTCTAGAGGATTCGATCATAAGAATAAATAAAATAAAAAATGGTTTTTAAAAAAAGTTTTATTTAGCTGTTAGTACAGTGAACTAAAAATTTAAATATAGTTTTTTCCTATTGGAGATTTTAAAACGATAACTAAGTTCCTTCATACAAGTTTTCAAATTCAAATAAAGCGTGTTACACCTTTTTCCATCCTGTGGTCAAAATTTCCTTGAATTATTTCCAGTTGGAAAACATTTTCACTAAGCTGAAATTTTATACACACGTTTGGTTCGCGTGACAGTACAAAATGAATTACCTGCCTCCATTTTGAATCTAATATGGGCGATTGCTACATGCTGACGGTTGATATGGATATCAAATGAAAGTGCTTGATGGGAGAAGCACAACAGGCAAAGTGGCATAATTCTAAATCTAATATCGTGGCCGCCGCAAAATTGCGATTTACATTTTCTTTGCACAGTCACCCTTATGTCAGGGGTTTCAAATGAAAGGGCTTGATACGAGATACACAATAAGAAAATTGACGTCATGATAAATTCAAGATGGCGGCCGTCACAAAACGGAGATTTCCATTTTTCATAGTCACCCATATGATATGGGCATTAAATGAAAGAGCTTGATAAGAGAAACACAATAAGCAAAACTTACATTTATTATACAGGGTTTATCCGGAAAGTAATAGGACTGAGTCAATTTAAAAAAAATTATTGAGCTGTTACAATTCTTCAAAAACATTCAAAATAGGCTCCTTCTTCGTCGATGCAGCGCTGCCAGCACGATTTCCTAGCATTGAAGGCGTCACGGAAGGCATTCTCCGGAATAGCCGTGAGAGCCGCGGTGCATGCTGCTTGGATCCCCTCTGTCGTCTCAAAATGCTTGCCTTTCATCGCTATTTGGCGGTGAGGATGAGTACTTATCAGACCACCCTCGTATTTCGTTCAAGCACCAAAAGCTATGAAATCAGTCTGTGTGTGTGTGTGTGTGTATCGACTCATGATGTAATATTTTCCTGTCAAATATTTCGTTTGACTACGATTCCCACACTCAGAACGCTCTCAGGCAGTGTTTGGCTATTAAGTCAGTGGTTAACTATTACAGAATAGACCTGCAAGTGCCAGCCGCAAAGTGGCAAGTCCCAAGCCAGTCCAAATTGCCAGCGTCCCCTCAACAAATGACAGCTCTAACTGCCGCTCTACAGCAGCCTAGACACGTCTTGATTCAACATTATCAAGTAAGTAATTGCATATCACCAACAAGACTAATCTATGGATTATTTTATTATATATAACACTCTATTGAGATTAGAATTCTCTAGGTGGAGGAACACATCCGTTTAAACTGATTATAAAATGCATGTTACCCTTTCAAATGTGGTCTGCTACTTGATATAATACCTGCTGTTCCCACCAGCTGATCTGTTTTGTTGGCTGTCATTTGTTTGCTGATAAAAAGCCCAAATCGCAGGCAATCTGTAGTTATGATGGTAAGAATCAGAATAGCATCAGGAGCCAAGTAAATTGACTATGAATTGGTGTTCGTCCCAGAAGACCAGTAGAGATCGAACGGTTGATAGAAAATCAATTCACCCTCAAACATACAGGCTGTTTCAAAAAGACTGTTGATATTTTTTCTAGAGTAGAACGTACATCCAAAAATAACTAAAAAAATGCCTATGGATATGGGCCCAAAAATGCTTTTCTACCGAGATACAGACAGGGCGACGAAGTTTTATATACGAAATTGAAAAAAGTATATCTACGTAGCGGGTACAGATACTGAGTTAGTGCGTTCAGTCAGCATCACGTGTGTTTATTGCTGATGACGAGCTTTTTCTCACTTTTTTCGATCCAACTCATTTTTACTCACTTTTCATTGAAAACATTCACTTTTCTCACTATTGTCGCTCTCGCTGTACATATTGTAGCTTATGAACGTTTTCGAAGGGGATGCCCTTCTCTCAAGCACCACGAAAGTTTTTTTTTATAAAAATTAAGCAGGATTGGTTAAAATCTACTTTGAATTTTAACTCAGCATTGCTAAAAGCATTCTATACCGAGTGATTCTCCAAGGTGGCTCACCACTACAACTTTTTTATTATTGAAGATAGAATAACGAAATTTGGAGATTGCTTCACCTTTCGATTTTTAAATGGGACACCCTATATATTCTTACTTATTTAGATCGAGAATTACATTCTGAACTCAACAACGCCTCACTTGTCAATATTTGACAAATAAAGTCATTTTTATCTCTATTGCTATTTTTCAATCTGGAATGCCATGGATCCTGTATAAATCGCCTGACTTTTGAACAAGTAACACGGGAAAAATACGATTTTGAGGCGAACGACTTTGCAGTCGTTTTAAAGATTTTCTAAGAGTTACAGTCGCATTTTCCTTGCTTCACCGTAAATTAAAAGCATGTCAATTTTCTCGTTTCTAGTATAGTTTTCCGTTATAAATTAACTACGTAACAAATAAATTTCTAAAACTGGCAGTATTTTTAATAACCTAGATTAGGTATTTGTTGAAGGTAACCCTAGCAACACGTTCAATTGTTTGTCACGGATAACTAGAATAATAGGACTTGATGCATAGGTATGCCGAACGCAAATACGTATAATTCGCTGTTAGGTATGATCGTTTCTTACAATTATTCAGCAAAATAATGAAAATAAAATTGGAGTGTTTAGTGTCAAATGATTCAAAAGAAAATTGTCTCAGACAAAGCCGACGAGCCACCCCCTTTCTATTTGAGAAAATCAAGGAAACTGAAAAAATAAGTGTTTTTTAACTTTTGGAAATCTTACTTGATCAAAAATCAGGCGATTTATACAGGATTCATGTCATTCTAGATTGAAAAATAGAATTTGAAATAAGATTGACTTTGTCAAATATTGACAGGTGAGGCGTTGTTGATTTCAGAATGTCATTCTCGTTCGAAATAAGTGAAGAAGTACGTCCAAGCAAGTCAATTTGTAAAAAATGTAAATTCATCTATAATATGCAACTCCCTAATTTCGTTTTTCTATCTTCAATAGTAAACAAGTTATAGGGGTATAATTTGAACTAGAATTTCAATATACATGCATTAACAGTGGCACTTTTTACAAATCGTGAAACTGAGTTTTGAAACAATTAGCCTTATCCAATTGAGTTGAAATTTGGAATACCTGTCTGGTTTGTTTGACAATACATAATGAATTAACTGCCGCCATTTAGAATCTAATATGGTGTATGCTGCATAATGGCGATTTATCATTTCCACAGTATATGATAAGGGTATCAAATCAAAGAGCTTAATGAGCGAAACACAATAAGCAAAGGGTTTGATGAGAGAGTTGCAGTAGCAACGTGACTTCATTCCACATCCAATATGGCGGCCGTTGCAAAATGTCGATTTATAATTTCCATAATCGCCCCCATATCATGGCCTTCAAATGAAAAGGATTGATCAAACGCAATGAGCAATGTGACGTCATTCTTATCTAATATCGCGGACGTTTAATATGACATTTGACAATGTATTACAATTATGACATGGAGATGATCTGATGATGCAGCCAGGAAGTGGCCATGGAACCTCCATCGAGTACAACCTTGATTGATTCCTAATGACATGTATTGATACGGTCTGACGATTAAGCTAGTCAACTATTGTGTAAAATATACTCATCTCTAATATTTTTTTAAAATTATATAGTCCCCTAAAATGTAGGTTCTACAGTCAATTGGGCAAGAATACTTAAGTAGGTATGAACATTTGAGGTACAATCCTAAAATATACGTATGAAAAGGTTTAGCTTCTCCTATTCTGAAGATATCGTCAAGTTTCATATTGGAAACGCATGTGAAGAAGCTATGGAACCCCATTATAACAGTAATTGAATAATACACGTGTATTATCGTCAACCTTCCTATTCATTAAACCTTGTCTATGCACGCCAGTGATTTTCATGCGAGTTATGTTGCTACAAATCTCTTATGTTGCCATAGACCAAGGTCCAGCATCATGCCACCATAGGAGTGTGCTGTACCTGCATAGATTACTTTCAACGATATACATGTTATTTTATTATGCAGTTCAAGATATTGTATCTTTGCAGTGTAACTTAGAAATCAGAAAAATTTCAAAATTCGAAATTTCAGTGGCGCAGTCATCGCGGATCGATTCTACCATCCCTACAAGGCCATTCATTGAGGATATCCGTCTGCACAGGTCGAAGAGGAGATCGCTAGGGAGCAAGTACAGGCAGGATACGGCGTTTCCAGAGCGAAGGGGTCCACTGTACTCGCTGCATCCCTCGATCCAACCTTCCGCGGCAAGAAGAATGAAAATCAGCGCCCTCATCGTGACGTAAGTTGCGCATTTTCTGCTTGCTTGCTCGTTATCGCACTAGTTTGTATATTTCGTCCATGTCAGTCTCCTCATATCGTAATTCCGGACAGGAAAATAGTGAGGCCGAATATAGTTTTAGTATGCCAAACGAACAGTTTCAGGCAGTTTTGGAAGCTAACCTCAGATTTTCCGCATTTAGCTTAGATAGCGATTCCAAAACAGATATGTCGATCCCATAAGCTCCCCATTTCGAGTTAAAGCTTCTAGACATAGTTCCCAAATATGACGGAAACCCATTAGAGTTAACAGCATTTTTGGAAACTGCTAACACATTGATTAGTAGGCTACTAACTCAAGTAACTCTAATTGTGTACAGAATTTAATCATTTACGGAATTTTTTCGAAATTGATTGGCAATGCTTCGGTGATCAAAGAGACGAAAATGGATTATTATTCGAACTTAACCAATTAAGACAAGGTAACGATTGCAGTTCTATACCAACACTGTCAAATTCTAGTGCTTTACACAATTTTAATGATACGCATGGAGTTCATATGACTATACAGTGCAGAAAAAATTTTTAATAATACACATGCACTTCGAATATTTTTGGGTGGCTTACGTGAACCTTTAGGCTCTACGGTTCGAGCTATCATCGAGCGCGATCGAAAACGTTATAAAGGCAGCAGTTGACAAAACTTGTCATTGCAACATACAACCACGTTACTTGGCTTTAAATGTGCGTAAATCGATGCGGTTTTCCCGGAATATCGTTTGTTTCTTTATGCATCGTGCGAGTGTACCCTTAGGAAAAAGTAGCAAAAATATTGATTAACGGCTGCGGTTTTCACGTTAACCACATACCCGTAGACAGCTTTACTGTACGACTCGTGTAATCAACATCGCGCTACATAGACTAAACCCCCCCTGAAATGTCCTCTCCCTTAATTGCAATAATGAACACGCGCTCACCATTTTTGGAAATCTACTTTTTTGTATAATATATCGTAAAATTATCGTGCTCTAACAGCCCACAGTCGCTTTGGCGAGTCGGTCTCGCACCATCGTTTTTTGGTACTTAAGACTCTTTATATGGTGTATAAAGGAAAAGCGTTATAACGTTTTTGATCGCGCTCGATCGATCGGCAGGCTCATTATCTAATTTCCAACCTACCGAAAATCGACCCGAATCGGTCGATAGTTGCTGTCAAACGCAAATTTCGTATTATTACAATCGGCGCATCTCAGTCAACGACCAGCTACGGTGGCGCCTCTATGGAGCAACTGGTGAAGAAAAAGTGCATTATTTGGTTAGGAGTAGCAAAAAATTGGTATTACCTAACTTATGACAGCGACCCAACAGCAACCACGTGGTGAATTGAACTGTGAAATTAACAACTGCTCGGTGGTAGTCGCCTAGTCGGTCGTCGATCGGTTACGAGTATTTTTTTGTATACATTTATCAAAATTATTCGTTTTTTTTAACAAGAAAGGTAAGTATAACAAGTTCAATTAAGAAATATAATAACTTGACGAGTCTAAAAAGTTATCTTATACTCTCAATTTGTATTTTCAGCAGTTTTGATTCACTGCGACGGCTCGTGCTTATGGAAGCTTGGAAAGTGAAAGAATGCAGGGTCAAAGACGACAAACTGCTGGCCTACGGCGTATTTTTCAGTATGTAGGAGCTGAAGTTCATAATGATTACAAAATAACCTTACTTGCACCTACCTACCACAATATATAGATACATTTATTTTAGGTATTTACAGCAGTTTTGGTGCTGGCCTCTGGTTCCTACCAGAAACACATTGACATGGGTTACTTACATGGGCTCGGTCAACCCAGTGTACCCAAAGCACTAATGGAAGCAGTATGTGCATTAAATCGTCCAGACATTGTATTGAAGCATATTTATTTCCCTCAATTACCATAAGAGAGTATAGTAAGTATATTGCCATGCATATTAAGAAAATGAGATTACATATAAAAATTTTATGGTGGATTTATTAATTGAGAAACTTGAGTTCAGCTATATCAAAAACTTTTTAATACATGAAAGTTTGCATTACCTGATGAAATTTCATCCCAATGCAAGTTGAAATTTCCTATTAACAGAAGTAATAAGAAGTCAATATTCATCAATCATAACATCAATACCTCAGATTCATTATCTGCAAGATCAATAATACAACAACAAATCTGAGTTTTAATATTCCACATAATTATTTTAGGTAACTATCATTTACTCTATTTTTGGACACTAGTTGTAATTATTGTTATATACCTGCTTGATGATGAGTAATAATGACAGATATATTTTTACAGGTGACTCTGGACAACCATTAAGAGCCTGGCTCTTAATGCCTGTTATAAATGCTGAACCCGGCACTGCAAAAGCACATGATACTAAATGCATTGCCTTACCAGAAATATCATAGAGCGATGCATATGAGTATTAAAATTTCTATTATCTACTGTATCAAACATTTTAGATTTCCATGAAATAATGTTCATTGTCATATATATGTTTATGTTTAATGACAGCTCGGCTTTAAAAAGGTCTTTTCAACCACTGTAAAGAAAATGTTAATGTTTATAGAAGTAGTTTTCTAGGAAGGTTTATTTTCACCTGTAAATATTCAACAATATCTATTTTGAGCAATGGAGATCAGGAGAAATTGCAAAATGCATTTGTAATGGGAAGCACTGCCTTTTTAAAATATAGTTATCAAAATCATCGACCGTTCTTTGTAAAATAAGCCCCATTTTTTTCCAATTTAAGCATTAATGGTACTAAACCCAATCGTACAAATTTTAAATTTAAAAAATCTGGTGTTCCACAAACATTTTAGATTTCCATGAAATAATGTTCATTGTCATATATATGTTTATGTTTAATGACAGCTCGGCTTTAAAAAGGTCTTTTCAACCACTGTAAAGAAAATGTTAATGTTTATAGAAGTAGTTTTCTAGGAAGGTTTATTTTCACCTGTAAATATTCAACAATATCTATTTTGAGCAATGGAGATCAGGAGAAATTGCAAAATGCATTTGTAATGGGAAGCACTGCCTTTTTAAAATATAGTTATCAAAATCATCGACCGTTCTTTGTAAAATAAGCCCCATTTTTTTTTTCAATTTAAGCATTAATGGTACTAAACCCAATCGTACAAATTTTAAATTTAAAAAATCTGGTGTTCCACAATCATTCAAACAGCCTAGAACTTCGCCGCTAGTGAAGATTAGTATAAATCGCAAAATGTATGTATAACGGGAACAAATACTCTTTTTAAAAATTGTACCAAAAGCATTTCTACTAATATAATCCCCAAAAAAACATGGATTTTTGTTTGACACAATGTCCTTTTCGTCAATTTCTAAAGCAATTATTATTCGAAAAGTTCGGTGGTGATTTTCAAGAAATGATTTAAGAGAGGTGGTTTTGACACCAACAAAACTAGCTCACTGTTACAGAACTGTAATAGAAACAATATGGTAAATTGTAGCACAAGTAAACAATGATCATGAAAATACTTTATTCTTTCTGAATTTCAATCAGTTTAAATATGCGTGACCGCATTTCTTGTGAAATTTTTGAAGTTACATTATTGACGTCTGTATCTGTATACGACTGGCTTCTGCACACTGCCTAGCTATTTGTGATTCTGTTTCTGGTGAAGTTAAAGTACTTGGTACTGAAAATCAAAAAGCTTTTAATTAATATCTGAAATTATGAAGCAAAAAACCAAGTAGAAACTGAATTCAAATGCAATTTCTATTACATAACCACGTTCATTATAAAACAAGTTCCTCACTGTGAAAAATAAAAAATCTGTATTTTTTTTATTTGAAGTAGAACTTTGTAGGTACTTTTATTTTGTCATCAAGAGTTATAAAATGATGTGGAATGCCAGGAAGCAAGATCTTTTTTCAATTTAAATGTGGTTTAAGTGGCCAATATAGATGGAGCATATACGCTGATTTTTCGTTGGTTAATATTAATCCCATTTAAATTTATGCAGTAGTTATGTACTTAAACCAAATGGAACTGGATGTTCAGTATCTCCAAATACTGCTGTTCCCAATATGGCCATAACCTGCTTGTCTATTGTATGTAATTGTATCCTATGTTGAAAGTTATCCAGCACTGTGAAAAACCTAGAGTACTAATCCAAGGAAATTACTCAGGAATCTGTGTAAACCACACTTGCAAATATTAAAAGAAGGTAGCAACTATTTGGAACGATACAAATACATTGAAGTAAAGAAACTATTTTATGCTTTTTTAATGAATGCCCATCCGTGTTTTTTGAAAGCGATCTGAGTAGAAAAAAGTTTTTTACAAATTGATCCAATAAAGAGTAAATTACTGCAAAAATGGATAAATGTCCTCATTTCTCAAGTTACTTGAATAAAAAAGTGTTACAAGCAGGAGTACAAATCTGTCTTTCGTATTACGAAGACAGATTAACGGACTAATCATAATAATGACCTCAAAATAAAATTATAATAAACAGAAGTATTCAATTCAGAGTAAAAAGCGTCCTGTCACAGCTTATTTGACATCACAGCAGTTTTACGATACCTTTTAGACACTATTTCATTATGTTTATCTTACAACACGCTTTGCTAAAGGTCTCTTTTTATTACAACATGGTTATATGTAGCGTTCATGAAAAATATGTTTCGTTACTGATGTCACAAAGTTGTATCTATTACATACCACTTTGTAATTCCAATCTAATCCAGATATAACTTTGAAACTCTGTATTGTATGGTCAAAGCCCAATACACATACAACTAAATAATGGTGTAAACTAAAAATCAAGAAAAATGCGACATACAACAGTGTAAGTCTAGGGTGATGACTTGCGGAAAGTGTATTTTCCGCATCTGTTGGTTAAATAACTATTAGGTGACAAACAGGATTATAATTTCTAAAGAAATTAGGAACTAAATTCAGTAGCCCATTTTCTCACAAAATTTGGTACCAAATTATGAACAAAATCTTGTATTGTGACGGACCTGAGTATGCTGAAAGTAGTTGAGATGTTATTTGGGGATGTAACATATGTATGCGTATTCTGTTGAATACTATAATGAATGCAGTATACAAGGTATCATAAAAGCCTTAGATCAAACGAGAGGGGGTAATAGAGGGGTCATTTCCAATCAGAAAAACCATCTAGGTCCTTATCCGATTGTGTACATTTTTTTTAAAACTATTTTTAAGAATTTTTTGAAAATATCTACTTTTGAGAGTGCAATTGTGGTTTGCTATTTCTCAATCAGCCTTACAGGATATGTTCCCAAATAATGTATTGTTGAGAAAAGCTGTCGGCGAAAAATTAGTCCATTGTGTCTCACCAGATGACTGGATAAGATTGATTAACAGCAGTTGTGTGACATACACTAGGAGTTCTCCAGTTGATCGCGCTTACCTGAAACTATACTACCTGTAGCCGTGATGCTCTATATGTCATTCAACGATAAACGAAAATGCATCAAACTGACAAATTTTCAAAATATCGTGAATAGTCCACTTGTCATAGGCGGAATTAGGAGGGAACATGATGTCAAATAACTGGTGGAATTTAGAATGTCATTTCTCTCATCAAGCCCTTAAATTTGATATGAATGTAAATCGCCATTTTGCGCCGACTGAGACATCTTATTTAGAATGACGTCACTTGGATTTTAAATGGCGACATTCAATTTATTGTGTATTGTCACTACGACCAAACGTGTATATAAAATTTCAGCCCAATTGGTTAAGGTTAACTGGTATAAAACTTAGTTTCAACACATACTGACATATCATGTTAAAAGCTTAATGAAAACATGTGGACCATAAATTTTATTGATTATGTTCATACAATATAAAATTTATTCTCAAGTATATATTTGTTGCCCTTCTCAAGATTTCAATTAACTAGGATATGTGGGTGATTTTATAATCGCCTGTGTTATTGGCGCTGCTGCTTTAATGGCAAAAATATGTTAAAAACACATGGCATTATAAAATCGTTCATGAATCATTAGAAATGCGGATTATAATATTATTTAGCCCTCAGATTAGTGCAAAGAGCTGGCAACGTCGCAAGTCGAGTTCGTGCACAATCTTACAACCGTGTGACATTCAGAAAAAAGAATGGCACTTGACAGTCTTGACACTGACATAAGTCAACCGTGTTGATATATGGTTTGCAGTGTTTGCACGGGACTGTACCTTGTTCCTTCTTCAGTGTATGTAGTATGTATATGTTTTATGGTGTGGGAAACCACGGCGTCATTGCATGATGGCGGTTTCTAATAGGAGAGTAGTGCGTCGGTTAAGTAATTAATTGTGTGATAGCCTGGCCTGTGATATTTGATATATGGTTATTGTGTTCGGAGATGCAGTAATTCGACTTCGATGTAAGCTTTGAGATTCGATTTTATTTTTTTCAGTTTTAAATCAGGATATACGCTTGTGCTAGTGTAAAAACTGATCGCCATTTTATATTGAAGAATAAAATGCATGGAAATATTTTAGAAAAAATAATCTTTTAACACACAAAATGTTGTGAAATCGAAGATTTAGGGTGTAATTGTAAATGTTCAGGCGAAAAGAAATTTTGTTTTATTTTCAAGGTGTTTCCATTTTGTGTGCTGCACTACTACGATGTTTTTTCTTATTTATAAACAAGCATTATGTTTCAAGTCATTAGTAAGGATTATACTGAGTGTTTAGAATAAAAGTGTTATTGGAGCATTTTTCATCATTTTGTCATTGCTCAAAGATTATGAGTTAATAATATGCTTACTGCCGTTCTCCATTTTTTCAAAAATAGTCTAGTAGAAAAAATGAAAATGTAGCTCGCTTTAGATCTTCGTTTTTAGTACACCGTGAACATTCCATTGGAAAGTATTTAAAATAGTCCAGTTAAATAGCCGAAACTGAGACAAAAGTGATAACATAGCCACAAAGTTATTTCCGCTGGCGTAATGGTGTAATAAAGGATTGCGAATATTGTGTGAATTTGGTTTTCCGGAAACCAGCCGATTTTTGTAAAACAGCGAAAAACCCGAAAAACCTCTTTTTCGCTGAAACGGCTGAGGATATCTGGGATTTTTTTACACGAATATTTTTCTAATTTTTGGGCCATCAATAAAGGTCTCTACAAATTTTTCGCTAAATTGCTTAGTTTTCGCGCTACAGCTTGCTGATGGCTTGCGGGCGAGGGGGTTTGCGGGGAAAGGGACGCGCGTACACCTGTCGCCAGACGCCGCACCATTGAAGCGGAAGGATCCTCTTTTATTTCGACGTCCTCAGTGTCTCTCTCTCAGTGATAGGCCAGTCGATTTCGAATAATAAGCTAGTTTGTAGTTGTGGCGTTCACCGACTTATGCATATTAATGAATTTTTGAAATTTCTGCGTTTAGAGTACAAGATGCAGTAATTTTTCTTCAGCCGCTTACCGATTGACTGGATAAGTGAGGTATAATATTTTCATTTAGAATTGGAACAACAATAAAAAACCTACAGCTGCAAAAAAAGGTGTGAACGTGTATATAAATGAGTGGCAATGATAAGAATACATTACAGGATGTAGAAGCCCAATGAGTCATCAAAAGACTCATTTTCGAGACTCCACGTTATTTTCATAATTATCCTCGCAAATCAGTTTGATCAGCGGTAGTTGTTAATCTACGATTATAAGAGATTTAGCAGTTCTTGAACCGCGTCTATACGTTGGTCTGACCTAGGCCAACGCAAATATGTCAAGAATAGACAATGGCCGATGGTGATGAGTATTTGACGATATCTTCTCTGCACACTCGCTGTGGAAAAACATTACTCCATTATATTTTAATCGAGATAAGAAATTATGTACAAACCATTAATTGGAAGTTGCATCAATTTTTTATATTTTCTATTTTGATAGAGTATAACAAATTATTTTTGTGTTCAAATATGTTTGTTTTACATTTGTTACTTTACATTTCACACATATAGTTGTACAAAAACCCTCACTTGAGCCAATGAAACCTACAATAGCATGTAAGAGGAATTGAAAGTATATACAGTTCAATGTTATATCCACCCCAATCTGTTACAAGTAGGATAAATCATTGAAGGTCAAAGTCATTAAAGTCCTTCGTTAATTTCCAAGTCATCATTATCGGGCTCTACGGTAGTTTGTCCACCGTCCTCCTCACATGCATCTGTAGTAGTCGGAGTTTCGCTATCATGGTGTTCTGTAGCAGTCCATCTCTTTGAGTTGTTGCACGATTTTCCGCGGCATACTTTGCAAGCAGAGTTGCACTTTAGACCGGCTTTTCGGCAGTTACATCGCTTCGATTTGCAGGGCCCTTGGCATCCACAGGAAACCTGAAAAAAGGTTATCATAAGAATTATTATAATCTAAATATCAGTTGTCTTGTAAGGGAAATCAATGACAGGCCTTTTATAGTGCTCCATAGATCAGTCTGAAAATTTGTTATTTTGACTTGAAACTGGATCTTACATTGTTCAAAAATTATTTTAATTCCGGTCAGACAGTACATGAGATCAACAGTGTAGTAAACATTAGTTATAGCAAGTTGTATTTATTGCTTCAAATTGAATACATTTCACACATACCTCTTGTAACAGTTCTTTTGGTGCGGGATCTGCTTCAGACATGATCGGAATGAGAATATTACCCTGTCTTGTCCATCCCCACAAGCAGGGATCTAATCTACGCTGAAGCCACACCTGGATTTGATATTACGCTCGTTTACAGTGCTGAAGCAAGGCAGGAGATGTTGGTGGGAGACATTCTAGGGGCGTTTCCTTTTTTGCCTTTGCTAAGTTTGTAGAAAACAAATTGTATCTGAAAGTCCCGAGAGAAGAAGACTGTTCTTTGTCTTTGTATAGTGCGAGAGTAATCGTCTCTGCACATTGCAGCAATTCGTCTTCCAAGCAGTCCGGCTCGTAAAACTTCAGCGCCAGCGCTCTAATGCTGTCGTTCTGCAGCAGCAACTTCACCAGCTTCATCTTCCCTTTCCCAAAAAAGCAGCTAGTAGTGTCGCAGCCCGCAAAGGCATGAACAAAAAGTAGAAATGGTTGCAAATGTTTGTGATCCCGAGTATCGTACAATTGGTTCGCCTTGCCCCCTTGGCCCATCTTGTAATAGTACATGCTCTCTGAGGTTGGAGTGAGTCCAATAAGTAATATTAAGAGATCAACATCCGGGCCGACGACTCGTGATTTCCCGTGACGAAACAATTCGTTATGAGTCTTCAGAGCTGTTCTCACAATCTCAACATCCGCATCCTCTTTCGCATGTATCACGGTAAAACTGAATCCCTCATATGTTGCAAGAGTTTGACCAAGGTGATAAACAAATTGAGCCTTGTTTTTCACGTTGGACAAAAATGTCCTTTGGTTCAATGGGACGAGATTGTCTGGTTCAATTTCAACGTCCACACCACAATTTCTTTATTGTCTACGGTCTCGCTCGTATGATTTGACACCTATATGTTCATCTTCATATCCGTCGAAAACAATAATGACGCTCCGACCAAACCGCTGAACAAGAAAGTTCTTGTACATATCAAAGATTGCACGGTATGTCTTACTATGAGGCCAGACGAGGCTGTGAAGCAACCATCCTCCGTCTACAACAAACTGAGAATCTTCGAAAAATGCTCGTGAGGATAGGGTAGTAGTGAACATTTTATATAACTGTGACTTGACGGTCTTTCGCATTGATCCGTTCTCGTCGAACAAACTAAGTGGAACAGGAGACATTTCGTAGTCGAAGCAAGATTTACTGAACTCTTTCCTTCCACGCATAGCCACAGACAGACGTTGAAATAATAGAGAGGTATCAACAGTAACAGTGGAAGACATAGCTTTTTGAGATTGTGTCCGTGCAAAGTCCAAATTCTTGATCTTGTACAATTTTGACAGCGACACCTTTTCATAAGTGCGTCCAACTATATGACCCATTGCTTGTGTGCTACGCTCGAAAGCCATATGACAATTTATTTCCACACCATCAACAACTCCAGTTGACAGCGAAATTAATTCCTCGCGGACTTTGAATGGTTCATGCCGCTTCAACCAAGTAACGAATGAGGCAATGTCCTTTGCGTCCCATGCTTTTCGTCCTTTGCCCAAATCAACATGCTGCTCACTGTTTCTCGTCTTCAGGTTACAATACTCTTCCAATGCTTGCATCACATGCACGGCGCAAGGCATCCCCAGCAAATATCGAGACCGACACTCCGCGTAACACCTCTTCCGTGTTTCAAGTCAGTCCCAAAAAACCTATTCAATGTCTGCTCGATTGTCATGTCACTCCAGATTCCGGACCAAGCCTTATCCGACCTGTGGATAGTGAAATAACCCTGCGTGGCAAACTGGATCCATGATGTCCTGTAGAAGTACCATATCCTGCAAATAAATCTGAGCTGCTTTTGCATATTGAAAATATCCCGCGGCATGAAACAATGGCAACATTCTTCCAACGCAATCAAGATGAAGGTCCCAGTTTCCAAGACGTTCTGCTTCAATAAAACGCAAGACAATAAGCACGGCTTCAATGTACTGCACCCACAACTTGGCTGTTGGGCCGTTATTTTTCAATTGCTTCAACTTTGTATACAACAAATCAGACATTTTCTTCAGGTCCTTATCAGAGTCACTGTCCTCTAGCTTGAGAGGATTTTTCTGCCAGGCACGCATCAATGATGCGATAACCCCTTTGATCTCGCCTTTTTCTTCGATTGAATCACAAATTACGATGCCTAAAGCTGTAAACGTCAAAATGTGTGCTCCGACTGCTCTTGAATAATTGTGCCCGTCCATCATTTTCTTTATGGATTCACTAGCGTAAGCAAGCTCCCACATAGATTCAAGTCCGCTTCCTCCCATGATAATACCTATTGCTCCCAAAAAATACATTAACATGTGGAATCCGCCTAAGCGAACAAAAACGTCGGGCAACATTAACTTCGCTATAATATCGCGACATTTCATGTACAACGGCAAGTCGTAAGTTAAGATAGTGGTTTTTTGACCACATTTACGGGTTTCGCTCTTTGCATGCATAATTGATGTATAAATGGTTGTTAGACTAGATGGAACTTCGTTAATGAATTGTTGGCATTGCACCCCCGACCTTTGGAAACTTTCATTTTCCGAACATATCTCCATGAAACCTCGCCATGCTGGTACATTCTCAGGATCAACGTATTTAGCCCACAAATAAGTTGAGTAAGTAGGGGGGAATAGAGGCATGTCGACCATGGTCAGTAAATTTGTATCGATGAATTCTATAAGTTTCAAGCCCTCTTTTGGCGGCTCGACGTAAAGGAAGATTGGAATTTGTTCTTGCTTTGCAAGGATATTTGCGGAAGGCATCTCAGTAAGTTTTTCGACACTTCCACATTGTGTGATTTCGTGCTCCGGAGTGTAAACCTGTATTCCGCCTAAACAATGGAAAGTCTCCCGTCCGTCCAGGGTCCTGACGTTGTGGTCAGTATTATCAAATACAAATTGTACGAAAGGTTTTTCGATGATCAATCTGGGTGGATTCACTATTGTTGAAGCCTCATACAATTCAATATTGTAGTAAGAAGTGCAAACGTCTAATGCATGCAGAAGATTTATGATGTACTTGGAACCTGTTTTTCTCAGAATCAATGTCCCAATCGACAAGTGGAGGGTGGACAAAAACGTACGTGGCTGAATGAATGAAAGTATGCATTGAGATATCATATCTCGCTTCACAGACTTTGCTTTTTTATCTTCCTCTTCGTCAGCGATAAGGAGAAAGTGCTCAATAAAGAACGAAAAGTGGGGTGGATAATCGCAGGAAAGATCGCTTACAAATTGATTGGACGGTGGGTACTTATGTCTTACAAATTGCTTGCTACGAATCTCTCTGTGCATTATATTTGAGGCCTGAAGCAAAATAACTTGTATCTGCCCTTTTGTGAAAGTTGATGGGTCTGCTGACACATTAAAAACATGATGACTTTTGAATCATACACGTATATCTTTTCCCCCCATTATACTGCACTCAACTTCCTCACCGTAACGTTTTTTAATGTGATCTGCTACAGTCCTTCTATCTATAGAGTCATCATCCACAAGTTCTACTAACTTCGACAAATAATGAATAACATTTTTGTCTTCTTCAAGAACTTGCCACACAGGTTCTAACAATGAATCGATTCTAGACCTGTTTAGATCATCGATATTTTTTTTAAACCATACGCATTGAAATGAGACATGCATGTCCGGTGGTATCTGCGTTGTACGCGAATTAAGCAAGAAATGTTCTCTAATCTTTCAACAACGCTAATTCCCAAAGAGTCATTTCTTTCCTTTCCCATTGCAATCAAGTTATCACGCGTCTCTTTTTGTGTGACTGTACAGATTTATGTTTTCGCATCTTTTATTATACTCAAACCACAAATGAAGCAATTATCCGCGTAATGGAAATCAGGAACCTCATCCCTTGCAGCTACGACATTGTTATTTGGTGCATTCAACGCAAAATGCTGAGTATACGTTCCACTGACCGAGTATGAAAGTCTACACTTCTCATGGCAGTCCAGTTTTTCCTTTTTTTTCCCAATCCAACCATTTTTTGTCTTCCGCGCGTTTGCTCTGTGTGATCAGTGTACTAATTCCCTTCTTCCCCACGATCCTGCAATTGCCGCGCGCCAACGGATAACTGCAAATGGCGCAGTTACTATTTTGCTGCATTTTATTCCTATTGAATAACAGAAACAATTTCAGTGAGAATCGGTATCCAGTAAGTGTAATGCAATTTTCGATCCAGTCAGTCTAATTTGTCTGATTTTTGTTATTAATATCAGAACATATTGCTAATGGAATTCCAAGACATGCTGAATTTTGGACCTGAATTTGGACTGCACTACTTATTATTACAAAATACTATACTAACATTGGAAAATGAAAATAAATTTCGTTAAAAAATCCATGGCGGATAACTTTTCGAATTTTAGGTTGGCTTTGTCCTTAATTCCTTGTCTCCAATGAAATTACGGAAAAAAATATTTAATTTCAATTCTAAAATGTACACATACTTACCTCACTTATCCAGTCAATCGACAAGCAATTGAAGAGAAATTACTCCACATACTTAAACGCATAAACTTCGAAAATTAGTTCTTTCGTAAAAGTCCTTGAACGCCAAACTGACAAGCGAGCTCAGGGTTCGAAATTCAACTCTACTATTACTGAATAACCCCTACCATATATAGTTTGGCAAACGGATCTGCAACATCGGGGTATCGGTGAGGGGAAAGCAAAACATGGCTGGTTTCATTCATAAAATGCCAGCGGCGTGCGGTATTTTATAAAAGTTTGGGATTATTTCATAATTGGTTTAAATTTAGTAAACTATACGTTTATGTTTCACTTTAAATTTGGGGAGTATCTCAATAAGCCCACAATGATATGGAGCATTGTCCATAATAATAAATAAAGTCTCGGGTAAACTCAAAAATAGCTGTTCTCTACAATCTACACCATGTAAAAAAATACTTGAGTTTGTTTCTACACTTCAACAAACGGAAAAATGTCTACTCACTTCCCAAAATTGCCACAATTCAAAAAATCATGATATCTGCGCGATTTAAAACCTAAATCAAGCTAGCGTTTTTGTCAAAGCCGTAAATAAAATATATTTTTCAAATACAAATAGATACTTAACGTGGTTTTTTACCTTGAGAATATATATATATATATATATATATATATATATATACAGGGTGACTTTGAAGTTGAGTCATTAATTTTCAGATAATGATTGTAGAAGGAAGATAAACCAAAATATATGTGTAAAAATAAAAAAAATAAAAAAAAAATTTTTACCTTGTTTTATAAAGTATCCTCCCGACAAGTATTTCAGTGCGGACCTGTATTTGATCGTGAGGTCCCCTGTGAGGTCTTAAGTCACCTGATTCACGAGCCCGTTGTACTACATTAACAAAGGCACGAGGGGTTGGTTGCACTCGATTGGGAAACCGATCCGCATAAACATGTGCCATTTTTTATTTCGTTTGAGCCACGCAACAGACACCACTATTTATATATATATATTATACATCCGTGATCTTATAATATGCTCATTTACTTTAAAAAGTGCCAGAAGCCGAAACATGACCAGAATTAATTTTTATTTTATAATCCGCATCTTTCTGGATTCCTATTGTTGCAATTTTGGACTGTTGATGTGGATATTTCTAGAGCATCGATGTCGCTTAAAGAGAAACAAAGAACTTTAAACATATTTCATATCCGTTTAACTTATAACCTCTGTAATAAATAATACTTACATTATACAGCATTTCAAAATTACATTTCACCTATTGAATTAGCATTGGTGTTCGTCAACTTCATCATTATCATCATCGTCACTGTCGTCATCAGTTTCGCTGTCGTCATCTTGCCCTATAGTTATTATAACTGGTTCCATTTCCTCCATAAATTGATCATTTTCCCAAAATTTATCTTCAATGTCCCTAGCATGTTGACAAAATTTCTGCCAATCATTAATGGACATCGCTTCCTGAGTAACTTCTTTCAGTGCGGTTAAACTGAAGTTTCCAGTGGTATTGCGGCTTCTTATATGAAATTTAAGCTTTGCCCAAGCTAATTCTATTGGGTTTAGCTCGCATAAATAAGGAGGTGTTCTTAGAGGAGTATGTCCATGTGATCTTATGATCCGATCAACTACATAATTTTTTTGGTTGTCAGGGGGCTTATGAAGTAAGACCAGATCGAACAAGTCAAATTTTCTGGCAGTTGCCTCATGATTTATGCCTATAAAATATTTTATTGTATAGTTTGATATGTACATGCATGTTTTGAGTCATAAGTACCTTTCTTTGTCAACCAGGCCATTATATCTTTTTTCGAAGATGATTTTGTCGGGGTTTTATCTTCCTGGACGGAATGATATGGAGCATTGTCAAATACTATAACCGAATTGGCAGGTATATTCGGGAGGAGTTTTTCTGTGAGCCAGCGTGTGAAATTTTCCCGATTCATCTGACCGTGGTAATCGCCTGTAGCTAATCCCGCCTTAAATATCAAACAGGCATTGTCAACAAATCCATTTTCTGAACCTGCATGGACTATAATGAGTCGACCTAAAATATACAAGACGATTATATAATATGTTACAAATCAGAGTTAAATTTAACATATATATAGCATTTTTGCTTACCTGTAGAACCTATACTGCTTATTACACCAGAAACAGTTTCGCTCTGCCAGCATTTTTTGAAAGTCAAGTCATTGTCCACCCAGGTTTCGTCCAAATAAACAATGTTGCGCCCTTCTTCACGATATCTACGTATTTCACGGATGTATTTGTACCTCCATTGCAATATATTAGGCCTCTCCATCAAAACTTTTCTTTTATTTTGACATTTGCGCCAAAAAAAACCATTTGATTTTAATAAACTCCTGAGTGTTTCCCTGCAATAGGGGAAATTTGAGTCTTCTCGCAACTTTTGTAATAACTTCCTAGTTGTCGGGACAACTTTATATTCAAGATAAAATCTGTTTATCAAATGTCTAATAATCTGAAAATCAAAATTTTCATCTTTCTCAACAAGAGACTGACGCGGTCTTTTTTTTCCGGGACTGGATAACATTTTATTCGGGTTATTTTCTAGTCTTTCTTTATCTTCGTTATGAATTTTCCTAACAGAAGATAGTCCGACTCCGGTATAAAGGGACACCCTATCAAGCTTACGTTTAAGCGGCAACTTGAGGGAATTGTTTGCCGCTTCCTCATCGCAAACCCTATAAATAATCATCAGAATGTTAGCTTAGCATTTCCTTGTTTTTTATTTATATTCAGACTCAGTAGTCAAAAACTACAATTATTGCATATTATTATTACTAACCTATAAACATTCGCAATCACTTCTCTTGTTTGGCTATGAAGCGTCTTTCCGCGAGTAAATTGGTTCATTTTAAAAAATAATACTAAAACGAATAACAATAACAAATAACAAAACACTAAACTATTCAAAAACACACAGCACTCAACATACAAACTTAATAGAACAGAACAATAATAGTTGTAAAACTCGACAATCAACGGAGATAAAACCTACGCCACTGGACTTTTCAATAGTATGGATATTCTAAGAAAGGAGCAAAAACTTGTCTGGGACGGTACCCAATAGGGAGTCGAATTTTCTCATGGCGACAAAACATGTGAGGATATCCGCCAATCAGATTTGTTTAGGCGGTGTCCAATATACCTTTCGGGTGGTTGTTGCCAGCTCAACCGATGTCGATAAGATCTTTGGAAAAATGTTTACTTATAATACGATTCAGTAGTAAAAAATAGTTATTAAATACAAATAGAGCTAACAACCCATTAAAATACTCAGTATTTTGAATTATTATTTTTTGGAATTGTGAAAAATCGATTTTCAAATCATTGAAATTACTTTTATTATTATTATTGCTTTTTTGTAGTTAAATTTGGCAATATCGAATATTTTCGGTCGCATTCCTTTCGCTGTTGCAGATCCGTTTGCCAAACTTTAGTAAGTGATCGTCTGCGTCGTCAACGCGTAGGCGGTGTGGCGGCAGCTTGGTGGTATGCAGGTACGCCGCCTCTGTCCCCGCCATCAGCAAGCTGTAGCGCGAAAACTAAGCAATTTAGCGAAACATTTATAGAGTTCTTTATTGATGGCCCAAAAATTAGAAAAATTTACGTGTAAAAAAATCCCATAAATCCTCAGCCGTTTCAGCGAAAAAGAGGTTTTTCGCTGATTTACCAAAAACGGCTGGTTTCCGGAAAACCAAATTCATACAACAATATTCGCAATCCTTTATTACACCATTACGCCAGCGGAAATAACTTTGTGGCTATGTTATCACTTTTGTCTCAGTTTCGGCTATTTAACTGGGCTAAAAATGCAACCTCATATGTGAAGAGCTTCTAAATCAGTTTTTACACGAATTTTACCTGCTGTTTACTTTTGCCAGTCCAAGCGGCGCAGCGGGCATACGGATTATGAAATGGCGTATTCATTTAATTTGGTGTCCCTTTTTTGTTGGATATATTAATTTCCTGACGTTTCGGTTGCCTCGACAGCCTGTGTCACAGTCAAATTTTCACAAATAATTTTATGGAATTGAACATTTTAGCTCCTTCCTGTGAAAGACTTTTTACTTCCCACGCCGTTGGCGAGAAGGTACTTTAATTTGAGGAAATTTTCGAAAATGAGATATTCTGATTTTGATGCGTGTGAAGCTGAAAAGCTGGCTCTATAATCGTACGCGCAACTACGAGTAGATTGCAACGAACCGAATAAATGTCTGCCTGCGATCAGTGTTGCCGGAGCCACCATTGAAAATTCCGCTACTGGTATAAAAAAACTCCCTTACTTTCCGGTACCTTGTGGATTATCGTGTGGTGGTGAGGAGGTAGAGGCGTACTATCATAAAAGAGGGCGACATTTATAATACAAGTTGTCAAATAAAAAAGAAAACAAAAACTAAACAAAATTCTATAATATAATAAATAACTAAACAACAGAATATAAAAGAACATGAAACTATAAAAAGCATTTTGTACTATAAACAGCGTGATAAAATATAACAAAACTGTAATTAAAAAACATTCCACTGTAAAAACCAATACAATATTACAAATAACTCAAACAACGGAACATTTATTACGCAGTCATATTAAAGAAATATCACTCGAAACGCGGACAAAGTTGAAGGTAAAATAGGATTCCTTTTCTTTGCTTTGATATATCTCCATATATGAGAATGTCCACTCGACAAAATTATTAGACATACTTTGGAAATACACTTAGGTTGTGTTCTTACTACCTACTGTCATCTATTCGCGCGTCGTTGAATAAGAATTACCGGCCGGTGGTTACCACTGTATTTAGATTTGGTTACTAACTGTACATTAACTAGTCATTTTTTTGTCACTATTTGTACTTAAATTGCAAAAATCAGCTACTTTTAACAAAAAATCCGATTCCGCCGCTACGCGTCTACCACTTAAAAATTCCGCTACCAGTAGCTGAATTCCGCTACTTCTGGCAACACTGCCTGTGATGCCATGGCGTAGCCTTACTCATAGGTAGCAGCCCGTGACGTGCATACGAGGTGAGCGCGGTAATTATATATATATATATCTTAAATCATTAGATTTAGAAATAACTTTAAAAAATTTTATTCGAGGACTGAACCTTCAGTCCATATAAAATACAAAGGTTTACAAATGTGACATTTACGGAGTCTAACCGGGTATTGAACATAAAGTTTACATAAGTGACTGTTACGGTGCCTAGCCGGGTAATGAACGACATGAAATGGGCGCAAGGCCTATTTATACTATTGGTGTGCTTACAAAGCACTTCTAGAAAATAAAGCGTAAACAACGTGTTAGCGAGAAGTCGTTATCTGTTGCTGAGCTAGCGTCTGGTGCAACATTGTATGGAATAGTAAGTCCATTGTTTTGAGTGCATACAACAACTTCCCCCTATTACAAAAAGTTGTTGCCATGCGACAACTTTTGATAAAATTAGAAAAGTGTAAAAGATGTAAAAATTCAAAAATGTAAAAATGTAGAAATGTAAATTGTAAACATTGTAAAATATAAAAATATAAAAGTAGGAGTAATAAAATTGCAAAATAACATCAGAAAATATAGATTCTGAAAAATAAAATTGTTAGCATAAATGCGGTACATTGGCGATGCTAAATAACATCTAAAAGCAAAGCTGGAACAAACAAATAATAAGATACAATCGTACAGTCGTACGGGCAAAATCACATGGTAGATAACACGAAAATTGGAAATCTCTTTTTGAACAGTGAAAACACTTCACGGAACACTCACTGCAGTTCGATGTCTTCTTCATGTGGCTGGATGGTTGGTCTACGTCGAGGAAAAAGTCTGGGAATGTACCGGACTTTTGGTGCTCCTGGAGATGGGCCATCGGCTGGATAATTTGATGCGCAGATGCTGAGTGGTGTTCGTTTTCTGCACTTGCAGAACAGGTACAAAGCTACGATGATAACTAACAGGGTGATGATGAAATACGTGAACCATGAGAGATGTCTTGAAACAAACGGCTCGTTCATAATTTTGTCCAGTTGTTCAGATTATTGGTTTAATTTGTGATTGGCAATTTCGAGTTCTTCAGTATCGATCTTGCTTAGCTTGATCGGTTTTAATTTTGGTAAATTTTGTTTCTCTGGGAGATGTTCACAGCATTTGTAGGGTACTTCTACAGGGTGACTTTTGTATGTGATATCCTTGTAGGTGCTAACAGAATATCTAGAATGTAATCTCGTGGTGCCTACAAAGCCACTGCATTCGGGTTGCATTTTTAAAAGTGAATTAACTTTTATCACTTTGGTGGTAGTCTCTCGTTGTCCACACTTCATCGTAATTGGCAGAGGGCTAGATATGGTGATTAGCCAAAAATTGGTTGCAAGTTCTTGGATTTGGTAATCTTGCAATGCCACAATTGCTATTTGGCAGGCTGTCGGCAGATCGACCGGATTTCGCAACAACTGTGCTTCGCAGACTGCATTACTGTCTATTGGATACGGCAAGAGGTTGAAACAGATTTTCACCTGAGACTGAAGAACTTTACAACTACCTAAGTTTTGAAAGGAAACGTACAAAAGAGAATCGCTATCTTTAGCAATGTACCTCTGTATAGTGGAGACTACATGAAACAAACCAGTACGTTTATCGAGAGTGGGTAGAGGAATCACTCTGTATAAAGTATACATTTCGGGCTCTAATAACGGGATGCGTAGAACGAATACTACTCTTGTTTTAGTTTGATATGCTTCGAGTTCCATAAGATTAAGGTACTCTGACACTGTTGCTAAATTAACCGGAAGGGGTAAATTATTTCTCGACAAAGTGTGAGAAATTTCTTGAAGAGAATTTACTAAGTCTTGAGGAGTGATAATAGAAGGATGTATTATTTTTAAACGTGCAAAAGTAATTGAATTTAGAATATCATTAATTGGCTCTTCCAGAAACATATAGCTTTCCATTAATTGTTCGCAAACTTCTAAAAATTGGAATTTAGCTTCATAAAATGCAAGATTGTCTGAAATTTCATAAATTTTGTTTTCAATGACCTTAATATCTTCATTAAACGTAGTTTCATCAATCATAAGTTTTTGAATAGTGTTATTAAAATTCTTGATAACCGACATGGTAACAGAAATTTGGTTCTTCATGAGGTTTTCGAGCTCATGTTCATCTTTAGAAATTTTGTTAATACAATCGTTATAGTATTCACCGTCCGATGAATCGAGGTTGCCGGTTATTGCTTTCCATACAGTACCTATAGCGTTAATCAGACCGCGTTTCATCCGCGATGCGCTTACAGTGTCATCGAAGATTGCGTAATATTTAGATTCCAAGGAACGAGAAATTTGATAAAGGAGACTTGTATGAGTTTTAATTTCACCACTAAACATTTTCATACGATTGGTGGGTTTGTCTACGAGATATGATAAGTGTTCCAGAATATTGTTGTTATCGTCAAGTGCTTTCTTAATGAGTTCTAAATCTTTATATACAAGAAGTGTCCAAATTTCGTTGGAAATCTTAAGAGGGGCGTCTTCATGAAAATAGATACCTAAGGTGTTGTTAAGCGGTTTGATGTCTATCTGGGCTGTGACAGCCGCAAGAAACAGCAGACTGCACCTGAAAGAGAAACTAAGTCTCAAAACATGGTTTCAGTCTGTCAAAATTAACTTTACTTATTCTATTTGTTTCCGGGTTCTTAAGGAGCGCAGAATTTTCAAAAACTTGAGTAATTTCGAATGGACCATCAAATTTGTTCTGAAGCTTGTTTGAAATTTGAGACTGTTTCACAAATACTTTATCGCCAATTTTATATGATTGTAAATTGGGTGACACTCTACTATCAAAGCGAATTTTTGCTTTTTGCTTCTGTTCGTCAGTTCTCACGCGGGCAATTTTGTAGTAATATTCGAGTTTATTCCGAATGTCTCGAACATACTTGGACATCAATTCTTTTTCTAAATATACGTGTTCGGGCGGACGACCAGAGGTGTGGCCAAACACGAGCTCGTATGGTGTAAAGCCAGTAGTTTTATTTCTAGTACTATTGTAGCACTGAACAGCATAGGGAAGAATATTGAAGGGATGTTCGTCGGGATTTTCGGATACATGGGATCTGATCATTTCCAATAAAGTGGCGTGAAATCGCCCAATCGAGCCATTGGACTGGGGATGACTGACACTAGAAAAAGTTAATTTAATGTCATAAAGACTACAAAGGTCTTTCATGAGGGCGTTGTCAAATTCTTTTCCGTAATCACAGTGTATTCGGAGAGGTGTACCATAATGTTGGAAATAGAAAAGTAGAGTATTTACTACAGATTTTGCAGATTTGTCGCTAATTGGATAGGCTTGAGAAAATTTTGTTAGCTCGTCTCGGATTGTGAGAGCGTAGCATTTAGGTGGGACTTCCAAAATGTCAATGTTGATTCTTTCGAACGGGGCTTTAGGGGTTTCAGTTACTACAAAAGGGGCACTGAGGTTTTTACGACAAATTTTGGTCTTTTGACAAATTTCACACTTTTTGATGAAATGCTCAACGTCTTTAGTTAAGCCGGGCCAATTATATCGTTCACGAATTCGCCTAATTGTTTCATTAATTCCTCGATGAATGTTTTTCTTACCACAATGGTATTGATCTAAAATGACGGGGATTTCATCGGGACTAGGAGTTTTGGTGACGTTTTGGCAAACGACAAGTTTGATATTATCATTCGAAAAAATAAAAGAGAAAATTTCTAAAATGGGTAAGTCCAAATTATTTTCAACGTAGATTTGTTGGGATAGGTCGAATACACCTTTGTTGGTTAAAATTACAGAGAAAAGATGCTGTATGCAAGTTACGGGATCGTATGGCACAGGAATAATATAGTATTTTCTATCTTTAGTTGTTTTGCTAGACGCGATGTTAATTTTATCTGCAGAAAAATCAAGATTTTCCTCGAATATGTCTTCGATAATTTTTTCGTGAAGATCAGATAGAGCGTTTTGTCTGAAAAACGTGACGATATGTTTATGACTTTTGTCTAGGAGTTGGGAATTTGAAAATTGGATTTTGGAATAATCGATCAGGGATGTGGTTTTGTAAAGGCGGGCAAAGATATCAAATTCACTTTCGGAAAATTGGGTAGAAGGTTCTCCTTCTTCGTCTCTATGGGTAAGGGCGTTAACAGTTTTGGGTAATTTGATACGTGATAGGGCATCGGCATTTTTATTAGCCTTGCCTGGCTTGTACACTATTTCATAGTCGTACTCCTCTAGCTTGAGGCGCCATCTTGCTAATCTACTTCCGGTGTCTCGGCAAGAGAAAAGCCACGTAAGGGGTCTATGGTCTGTTACGAGTTTAAACTTTCGACCATACAAATAAGGTCTAAAATGTTTTACACTCCAGACAATAGCTAGAAGTTCTCTTTCGATGGTGGAATATCTCGTTTCTGCTTTACAAAGTGTACGAGATGCATAGGCTATCGGGAGATCTTTACCTATGGGACCTTGGGAAAGAACGCCAGATATCGCAAAAGCGCTGCGTCTGTTGTAAGCACAAAAGGCTCTTCAAAGTTGGGGTAGATCAGTATAGGAGATGTTGTTAAAGCATTTTTTAAAGTATCAAATGACTTAACACACTCGCTATCAAAGTCAAATACTGCGTCTTTCTGTAATAGTCTGGTAAGGGGTTTTGCAATTTTGGCAAAGTTTGGTATAAAGCGTCGGTAGTAACCTGCAAGACCTAAGAAAGATTTTATTTCTTTAGGATTCTTGGGTTGAGGGAAATTTTTTATGCAATCCACTTTATCCGGATTGGGCTTAACGCCATCAGGGGTTATTACGTGACCAAGATAGGCTACTTCCTTTCTGAGGAATTCGCACTTATCAGGCTGGATTTTGAAATTCGATTTCCGAAGACGCGTAAAAATTTCGGTAAGTCTACTGATGTGTTCTTGGATGGAGGGGGAATAGACAATTATGTCATCCATGTATACAAGACATCTTTCGTTTTGTATACCCATCAAGATGTTGTCCATGACACGTTGAAACGTGGCAGGAGCGTTCTTGAGACCAAAAGGCATCCTCAAGAATTGGTAATGTCCGTTTTCAACTGAAAATGCAGTTTTAGGAACATCAACTGTATTTATCTCGATTTGATGAAATCCAGATGCCAAGTCCAGTGTACTAAAGTACTGGCATTTCCCTAATTGATCAAGTAGATCGGAAATGTTTGGCAGGGGATATTTATCATCGATGGTGATTTCGTTAAGCTTACGATAGTCAATCACCATACGCCATTTCTGTTTACCAGAGGCGTCCATTTTCTTTGGTACAACCCACACCGCAGAATTCCATGGCGATGTGCTAGGTTCGATAATACCTTGTTTTAGTAATTTCGAAATTTGATCTTTGACTTCTTGCTTGTGGACATAAGGGTATCGGTAGGATTTGGTAAAAATTGGTTTACTGGTAGTGGTATCAATGGAATGCTTAATTTCGTTGGTATATGACAGGCTATCACCATCTAAGTAGAATATGTCCGAAAAATCTAAGCAAAGATTCGTAATTAAATCTGTTTCCTCTTCGTTGAGATGATCGAGACGTAATTGATCTCTAATAACATCTCTACGGTTATACTGACTTTGATTTTGTAAAGAAGTGTTGAAATTATTGATAGAAGTTTCGTTAAAGGGCTCGAAAGTTAATTGGGGTAAAATTACATTTTT